CTTCTTCTTCAGCCAAATTTATAGTTGCTGGTGGATGGGAGCTTATCCTACGTGGAGGGCTGAGTGTATTTCAAAAGGCAAGATCTGCCCACTTAACAATGGGACTTGGGAAACCATGACTCTAGCTCCAATTTCCTGCTTGGTCTCTCAAAAACCACTGCAACCCTGTGCAGGTGCTAATTTATGGCCTGATGGCCTGATCCCCATAGTATCCATTGAGTTTTGAGTCAACCGTGAATTCACAGCCAACTTTTTAGAATTATATACGTGTGTGTATATATACACACACACATATGTCATTTATATTAACATATAAATATAAATGATATATTATGTATATACATTTATCTTATCTAAATATATATGTGTATATAAATTATATATGATGTGGGAAACAAAGGCAAAATCAAAAAAAGTAAATTTCCCTACTACAGCCCATTGACAAGTCCTGAAAACAGGTAGAATGATCTTCCTCTAGGACCTCAGATGCCTTAATGATGACACTCTGCTAGGAGCAAAAGACAATCTTAGCTTAACGTTATCCTGGCCTCCAGGATCCCACGAGTCTACTTTATCATATAAAAATCCCTCTGGAAACTTCCTTTATCTCTACACCCCAAAATATATGTTAGCAGTCATCCTCCAAGCATATGGCCCCCGATATACATCTGAAGGATCTCATGGCTGAGGGTTTACTAAACAGTGATAAATGACCTTTTCCTAACAATGGCTAGCCCCCCTCAGGGTCCTGGAAACCTTGTTTCCAAGATTCCTTGAAGACATGTGCTGTCCCTAACCCCCTCCCAGCTTGAAAGTATATAATCAGTCACCCCTCACAACCCCTGTCACGGGCCCTGTCCCCGTGCTTTAATAAAGCCACCTTTTTGTACCAAAGACATCTCAAGAATTCCTTGGCTGTTGGCTCTGAACCCCAGCATTTCCACATTAACATAAATTTAGAATTACATACATATCTGAGTAATTATATGGAAGTAGTTATAGTTCTATAGACCATATATATATGTATATAGCTATCTGTATTATATGTATATAGCTGACTGTATCATAAAATGTTTTAAATGTAAAAAATGATCTTCCAATTTAAAAAATTTTGTCAGGAGAAAACTGAGCCACCGAGATAGTGAAATAATGCAATTATTCTGATTTATGGATTATATTGTCTATCTCACCCAATCCAATCTCTTGCCTTCTGAGAGGGAATTCTGAAGAATTATTTTGCTAACATAAGTAACTCTTCTAGTTCACCTGATTTATGTTTCTCAATAAAACCCATATATTTTTTCTACTAGGACCTGAATTTATTATTTCTTTTATTGAGGCAAAATTTATTTGGGGGTCTTAAATTTGCTCAGCTTAAGTTAGTATTGGTCAGATGCTGAACACTGGGTGAAAATTCAAACCCGATCATCGGGGCATCCTGGATTTTTAATTTGTTTCTGTTCAAAGCGCGTATGACAGTAACTTGCTCTCATGGATTTATGTTGAGTGGGGAGTTGGGATAGCACTTTTGTGCTGGTGGAGACCAGGGCTGATCCTTGGGAAGAATCCAGAATGATCGATGCTTGCTTGAGAGTGGAGGGGCCGGTTTTCTGAGCCCGCTCCGGGAGAAACAGCCCACATTAAAGCAAACAAATGGAAAGGGAAATCTGTTTCTGTGAAACAGGGACAGAAGCAAGAGAGAAGTCTAAAGACAGCTGTCGAGGTGGCAATGGATCCAAGTCTGAAAGACAAACGGAGTGGCGCAAAGTGACAAGGAAGGCAGAGGAATCTTCCTGACGGCCAGCGTCTCCCAGTTGTAGAGTTTGGAGCCCATGGTTTAGGACAGCGCTCAGCTCCCTCCCCACAGCCCTGTAATTTCCTTCAGCACATTTGTCAGAACTATGATCTGCCAATTCAGAGAGAGTGATGGCAGCTCAGTCTTCTGTCTCCAGCATCCTTCCAAGGCTCCTCTTTAAACTTCTATTAGCCTGTTCTTTCCTGCATCCTCCAAATATGGCTTCCCGGCTCTTAGAGGGTGCATGAGACACATCTGGTGTTGGCAGCCATTGTGTGAATTCCTCTTTCCAAATCCACCGCCCCTCTTGTGATACAGGCTAGGGCTTAAGCTTGAGGCAGAGGGCGTTGACGCCTACCCGTCTGGCTTTAGACTTGGCTGGGGTCTGTTCACTGTTTTGAGTGTGAAACACTCTATCCAGGGACCTGCAGGGGATGTGACCCTAGAGGCCAGGGACTTGCTGGAGGCATGTTAAGTCTTAGGGATGGAGCTATATCATTTGCTCGGCTGCTGTGGGAGCATTTACTGTGACAGGGCACAGGATGGTTCTTGACAGAAGGAGGGGACTCCTTGTCCTAAAATGCTGACTCCCTCTGTCTGCTCTCTGAGGAGAGGAAGGACTGAAATGACTTAGCCTGTGATTTTGCTTGTTTTTTTTTTTTAATGGAATCTATAGTCACTATAGACTGAATCATGTTCCCCTCTCCCCAAATCCGTAGGTTGAAATCCTGACCCCCAATACGGCTGTATTTGATGATAGCACCTATGGGGAAGTAATTGAAATGAAGTCATAGGGCAGAGCCCCAGCTGATAGAATTATAAGGAGAGACACCCAGGTGTGTGCTCTCTCTCTCTCTCTCTCTCTCTCTCCCTCCCTCCCTGCTCTCTATGTCAGAACTTGGGAAGAAGGCAGCCCTCTACAATCCAGGAAGTGGGCCTCACCTGGACCTTGATCTTGGACTGCCACCTCCAGAACCTTGAGAAATACATTTCTGATGTTGAAGCCGCCCAGTCTGTGGTGTTTTGTTATAATAATCAGAACAGACTAAGATACTCAGAAAGGACATGTCTGAATAGATAGCTGGAACCTATGTCTGTGAGAAAGAGGTACGTCCTTTGGTAGGTCAGATTCAGTCTCTAGGCCTGTGTTCCCAACTTTCACATGAAAGGATCAGACCAGTGGTTAATCAATCCATTCATCCATCTGTCCACCCCTCCACCTACCCACCCATCCATCCATCCAACCACCAAGACATCCATCCATCCATCCATCCATCCATCCATCCATCCATCCATTTATC